AGCCCGGCACAGCCAGGTCCCACCGGACCCACAGACCGCACGCTCCCTGCTCCCCAGGGCCCCGCAGGCAAGGGGCACTCACCGAGGACGTGACCCGCCAGCACCGCATGCGCGTGACCTTGAAGCTGCCTTCCTTGATCTGCTCGTTCGGCAGCCGCACCTGGAAGTTGAGCTCGTTGTTGCCAGCGCTGACGACGACGTGGCACCCCTTCTCAGGGAAGTCAGTGACGCAGGGGTCGAACTTGAGATAGCCATAGTACTTCAGGGTCTGCGCCAGGCGGATGAACTGTGGGCAGGGCCAGAGAAGCTCAGCGCAGGGCAGCCGCCCGCCCGCCCGCCGCACCTCCCAGGCCAGGAACAGGCAACGAACTGGGCACCACGCGTTCGCATGGGAGTGGTGCCAGTCCAGTGCTGGGACTGCTCCAGTCACAGCATCGTGCCCTCCCCTACCTCCTTCTTGGAGACTTTTTCCTGCAGGGACTTCAGCTGCCGGTGCTGTTCCTTGTTGACAAGGATCCACCCATGCTCAATGTCCGACACCGTCTACCGAGAAGCAGAGGCTGGTGAGCAGCTGGGCCCAGAGCCACCCGAGACCCCGCACAGCCGCAGCCGAGGGGTGCGGTGCCCCTCCTTGCCCGGCTGGGCCGCACCGATCCTCACCTGCGCATACAGCAAGTTCAACCCCACACGATGCTCCATTACATCGTCGTCGTAGGAGGAGTCCCAGTAGCTAGAAGGGAACCATGTGGGTCAACCTGTTCCCCAGCTCCTAACAGCCATGGGGAGAAAAACACCCCCCAACAGTGGGACAAGGTGCGGGGCTGCCTCTCGGGCCAGCTCCCCCGGTAGCCATCAGTTGCCATGCCCCGCTCCCCCTCTCCCAGCGGCAGGAAGGGCCACGTCTGGGAAAGCAGAAACAAGGGCCAAGCCCAGCAGGGCAGCCCAGCCCCCAGTGTCACGGCCAGGGACGCCCAGGTGTGTTCCTGGGGGCCAGAGCAGCCGTGGCAGGAGGAGAGGGGTCCCCCTGCAGAGCAGGGAGCCCCGCACACCACCCCAGCGCTCCAGCAGTCGCTGCCCCTCCGGCCCTGCCGCTCACCTCTTGCGCAGGATGATCCTGAACTCGGGGTCGTGCAGGCTGGTGACGGACACATAGGGCAGCTCAAATTCCTGCAGCTTCCGCACGACTGCAGGGAAACAGCAGCTC